AAATTAAGAAAAAAAACAGAAAAAAGTCCTTTAAGTGGAAAACAAGACAAATAAGACTATAAAGAGAAAATATTCACATGATCATAAAAAAATAATGAGAAAGTAGAAAAAGGAAAAAAAAGTTCATAATGAATCCTACAAATTAATTTTTTACTTTTTGTTTTTTTTTTTTGAAAATATTCCCGTTTAAGAGTCTAAATAGCAATAAAGGATATAATTGAGAAAAAGTAAAAGAAAAAATAAATTTTTTAGCAATAAATTTTTGGTTTTTACTTTATCAAAATAATCTTAAAATAGGCAAACTCTTATAGTATACAGGACCCATACGTACTCACATGATGTCAAAATATATATGTGTGTATGTACGAAGAACAATTGCATAGGTTCTTCTCTATGTATAAAATGCGTTTTTGATTTTCCTTTCTTGTTTTTTTTTTTTTTTGGTTTTCAAGAGGTTAATAAATAATAAAATTGGTTTATAAAAAAAAAAATTATGAATTTACTGCATTAAAAAGTACTTTATCATTTTCAAATAATTTTATTAAAAAAAAAAATAAAATAAAAATATCCAATATAAATGAATTAGAAAAGTTTACGTTATAAAATTATTTTTTTAAATAAAATTCACAAAAATAAGGAAACATATTTCATAAAATACAATAGAAAAATTGAGATTATTTTTCTATATTGTCCAAAATTTATCCAAGAGAAATGACCTTTATAGTATTCTGGTATATCAAAACAGAACTGCATAGGCATGTAAATATTCTTATTCAGTGCACTTGGTAAAAACAAAATGTATCCAATTTCGAGGAAAATATGTATCCAAAATGTATCCAACCTCATAAAGTAGAATTTTTATACCAAGCCGTCCTATTGTTGTTTTTTTATTTATAGTAAATTCTTTAAGAAATCACATACAGCTTCTATTATATTTTAAATGTGAAAAATAGGGTCAGAAAAATCACATGCATATATTCCTTCTGTAGTAGTTGAACTATGTGCTAAAGACAATTCACCAATTGAAACGGAAAAATAAAAACAGTATGTACAGCCATTGCATTTTCTACTACAACTACCTTACACCAAAATATTTCTGGTACGTTCTTGTCTAAATGTTCTAGATTTGAATACAGGAAGAGGCAGTACCCATTTAAAAAAGTAGATTTCTTAATTTCTTGTAGTAAACTCGGAAATCTGCTTAGAAAGGCCAGCAAATAAGACTTTTTAAAGATAAAGCAATTTCGCGTTTTAATATTAGCAGCATTTTAACAGTTTTGTAACATTTATTTAGTGTTTGAGAAATAAATGTATCCATATTTCAGCAAAATTTTGAAATGTAGCCAATTTCGGCATTATAGCAAATTTGAGTATCTTTGTATCTAAGCTAAATTTAAAGCAAAAAATGTATCCAAATGGATACAATTGTATCCAAGTGGGAATGCTGTAATCTTACTCGTATTAGTTAATTTTAATATCGTAAGTATTCAATTAAAAATAATTTTAAAAATCTTCTTAAATTAATTGATTGTTTATATAGAAAACAAATTAAAATTTATATTTTACGGTATAAGTTAAAATTTAATATTTAAGTGCATATCGTAATCTCATTTGATCTTAATTATGTTTAATATGATTACTCCATTGATCGTTTTTAAAATACATAGTAACTTTGTTTGCTGTTCCCTTTTTTTTACCCTAATTCCTTCCTTCTCAATCATATTTTAAAAAATTTAAATTACAAAATATGAAAATTAACAAGTTTTTTGCCTCTGTTATATAGTCGTGAATAATTCAAAAGATCAATTTGAAAGATGTAGATGATTTATTTGGAAAATGACCTAAGTCAATTTCAATTAAAAATTAAATATTTGGGTTGAAATTTCCGTTTGGGTTTAAAGTAACCAAAAATTTTAGTTTACTATAGTTATTTATTTTATAGAATATTCATTTTTTTTATCCAGCAACGTAAGTTTCAATTCCCAACTATTGAAATTATCATATTGCTTTTAAAATAAAACATTTTTAGAATTGCAAATCGACTCATATGAGGGTCACTTTCATAATTAACCGTTAATGTAAAACTTAATATCTAAATTTTAAAATTATTAAAAGAATTATTTATAGAAATAAAGTTTTTAGTTAAAGTCCGGTTGATATAGCATTTGGGCAAAAGTACTTAACTCACTTTTTCTAAGCAATGCTCAGAACTACATATTAACAATTACATTGGTTTATTTGAAAAATTTCTCGCATAAATGCAAATACTCGTAAGTAGTTCCATAAAAATAAAATGACCAATATTATAGCAAAACGAAAAAAAATAGAGTTAACAGTGTCAACTCTGTGATACCCGTACGAATTTGTTATCCTACGCTATAAATTGTCGTATTACCATATTAATTTATGCAAAATTTTAGTACTGTGTTTTCAATATTTTCTATTGAAATCTGAAAATGAATATCAATAATTGAAATTGTACTGCAGCTACCACATAAGAAGTAAAGAAATTTCAACGATTTTTATCACACCCAACAGCCCTAATAAGACGCTTGTTTTCACGAGATTTCTATATTATAATTCCAATAATTTCTGAAAAAATTCCAAATAACTTTTCGTGTTGTATGGCAGCTATCAGTTTTATTCACATAAACAATATATTCGTTTCTGTGAAATTTCAATACCTCAGCTTTTATAGTTTCTGAGATATAACCAAATAAATTTGGAAGTTGTATGACAAATACCCAAACCAGTATCACGATCATAACCAATTTAAATAAGGTTCTGGCATTTACTATAATAAATCATTTGTGAAAATTTGGTGAACTTAGATCAATTAGTTTTTGAGTTATCGCTGGAACGGACGGACGGGCAGACAAAGCTAATTCAACTCAGAATTCGATACTGATTAAAAACATGTACTTGAGTCTATATCTCAGACGATTATTTCTTAGCGTTACAAACGGTAAGGCAAATTTAGTATACCCTTCGAACATCAGTTCGAACCCGAATAAAAACCTTAGTCAATTATTTTGTGAAATGTGCTCTAATGTTAGAATTTTGAGACAATTAACAGAAATTAAAAGAAAATAGATTGATACATTCCAAAATAACTGTATAACTAAAGCTAAATCATAATATTATTAAACTTAGATTTTAAGAAAAGAACATTACATTGTCCTTAAAACTAATGCAACATGATTTACATTATTATGTTCTCTTACCCTGATTTCAGTGAATCACCTGATTGTGTTTTCCAAAAAGATAAGAAGATTATATTTTTAATACAAAAACAATAAATAATATGAAACAAAAATTAAACATCACTAAAAAAATGTAAGATAGAAAAAAAAATCTGTGATTTTTCTCCTCAGTACAAAAAGTATAATAATTTGAATACATACATTAAATACCTACATACATACTATATGGACAGTGTTTCTGTATTATTTATAACTTATAAGTAAAATAAGTCAAAAATTATTCAGAAAATTGTGTTTTTATTATTATTTGTGCAGTGTCTATTATAAGTCAGGTTGGCCGAGCGGTCTAAGGCGCCAGATTTAAGCTCTGGTTCCCAGATGGGAGCGTGGGTTCGAACCCCACACCTGACATCAAAAAATTTTTTTTATTTTTTTTTAATAAATTTTTTTTTCTTCTTATTATTTTTTTTTAACATTTAATAATTTTACAGAATTTTAAAATAATCAAATTTAAAATTGAATAACTAAGATCTTATAAAAATTTTTAAATAATTTCTGGAAAACTAACAAACACAATGGATACTAATATTTTGCACTAAATAATAAATTCTAATTTACCATTTCAATTCCTAAAATCCAGTTAAATGCCTATTTACCAAATTATTTATGTACTGAAAATCGAGGTCCCAAACCAAAAGTAAAAAATTTTTGTTTCACTTACCATAAAATTCATCCAAGCTAAAAACCTTAATTTTTAAATTTAATTTCATTGTTCCGATTTCTTAATTTTTCTTAATTGTCAAAACAAAATTTTAGCCAAGACACAAATTTTACAGATACAGAATATGAAAAAAGGAATTTTGATTTCACATTTCATTTTTAATTATTTCGTGATTTAATCAACTGCGAATTGTGGTTGACGAGCCCCCAACGCCTTCCAACATTTCCAGTAAAAAATCTCAACTTTCCATCATATAAGAACAACATCATTTACCATATTACAGGATTTCCCACACTTTCAGATACTATAAAATAAAGACATGTGCGATTACAGCGTTGCAACCAACCTACTATAGGATAACATTTCTAAAAATAAAAATTAATCTTTATTTAATTATTTGTACTTTTATTTAAAATTAACTAAGCAAGTCCTCATTATATAATGAAATTTTCCATCCTATACATTTCGTGTAGCTGTTATGAATGGGCAGATATTAGAAAGCAAGTATGTATGTATTATAAGTAATGAAGTTTCATTTAACAGAGTTTGCCAGAATTGTTTTAAGAATGAATAAGTACCTATAGGTATAAGAAAGAAGAAGTATGTATGTATAAAAAATTTGATCAAAAACAATACATATTCACAACAATACAGATTGGCTATCTACTTAGTGTGCATTTGTTAAGTGTGAAAAATTTATAACAATCATAAGAATACGATAAATCGCAAACAAAGGATAAAATTTAAGAAATTTTAATAAACTTAATCAGATGGGCTGAATGGTATTTTTGTGGAAGGGGACCGTCATGCCCATCAACAGCACATACCCCTTATAGTTTCTATATGCATAAAAATCTATTTATGTTTCATCTATTCTGTATTCATATGTATTTACAATCCACTAAGATTTTAATTTTAAAAGTTTGAAAAAAATGTAGCAATATAGAATTGCCCCACAGGATATATAATTTAAAATCTACTAAAATTCTTAGTATAAATATGTTTTATTAAATGCAATATGAAAAATAAATTACATATTTGTAATTATATTATAATTTTTACAACTGTTTAAATATTAATATTAAAATATATGAGTGTATAACGAAATATTTTAATTTGAAAGTAAAACAAGTAATGTTAAAAATTTGGTTAAACTAATTTTAATTAGACTTCAAACTTACAATTAATTTTACAAAGTTATGATATTTTTGATAGAAACTATAAATTTACATTTACCGGTATAAATTATTAATCCCAAACTTGAAAAATTAAATTCAGGTTCTAAGTTTACACGCCTTGGAAAAAAAATTTTTTTTTTTTGTTATCAAAAAGTTTATGTGCCGGCAGTCTTTAGTTATTTTAAAATAAATTGGATCCTAATTTATTAATTTACATTAAATTAATTTTACAACTCATCTTTTTCATCTAGATCTACATCAGAAAGATCGATATCTTCAATTTCTGGTAATTTTCCATCTTTTCCATCCCATGGTTCAGTTTTGTTTATTTTTGGTTTTTTAGCACCTCGTACTGGAGCTGTATTTCCACGACCATAAGATATATCTCTTAAGAATTCATCAACGCCTTCCTTCGAGAAGCTGCCTTTCAAAACTGAAAATTTCATCTTTTTGAAATTAACTACTGCCATAGCTGGGTAACCAAAACCCCCTATTTCCAATGATTCCTCTAAAGATAATTGTGCTGCTCCTTCTGCCCAAGCCCAACCCCATAATTTCTTTTTATATTTTTCGCCCAAAGTTTTCAACATATCTAAATATTTATTTCTACATTTTGCATCACAATCCAAAATATGAGGTAAAACTGAAACTACACACAATGGTTTATTATCACAGGCTGAATCAAAACTCTTCTCATCTATAATTTCGATTAACTCTGGAGCTGGAATACTATCAGAATATTTTTCCAATGCCCAAGATACTATGTCTGAAGATGTTCTTCCGCCTGTATAATCTTCTGCGTCAGATGAGGATTTACGACCACCGGGGAAGAATTTAATTGTTGGATATCCATTAACACCATATTGTTGAGCTTTTGCTTGATGAACTGTTGCATCTAGGGCACCCAATTTCACTTTACCTTTAAGCTCTGTTGCTGCTTTAGCCCAATGAGGTGCTAAGTTTTTGCAGTGACCACACCATGGTGCAAAGAATTCAACTAACCAAACATCATCACTTTGAAGCACTAATTTATCGAAATTATCATCGGTTAATTCAACTACATCTTTAGAATCACCACTACTGCTATCAGAATCTGAGCCACCTCCACCGAGGATAGATTTTACTTTTTTCTTTGCTTCAGCTAAACCAGCTTCTGCTATTCCTTGGGCTGTTCTTTGTCCATTAAAATCAATTGGAGATCGTTTATTCTGACCAAAAATTTTAATTGTTGGGAAACCTTGTACACCATATTGCCCGCCCAAAGATTTATGATCATCTGCATTTACAGCTCCGACTTTAACAACACCCTTTAGAGCTTTAGCTGCTTTTTTATACTCTGGTACTAAATTTTTGCAATGACCACACCACGGTGCGTAAAACTGAAAAAAATAAATAGTAATAATATATTATATGGGCACAAAGGATTTTTACATAATTTTTTACTTATTAAAATTAAATTATCTAAAAAAACAATATCTAAAATTAATATCAAGTCCTCCAGTTTGAAAGCCTAACAATCTCAAAAAGTAAATGTAAAAAGTTAAAACTATTTCTTTCATAGAATTTTATGTTTATAACACTTAAACAATTTTAATGCGCGTGGGAGGATCATAAAAACTATAAAATAATGGTCATTGAGCTCTTAAATGACGTGTACATTTCTATTGTTCACATCGTTCAATATATTTGAATAAGTAGTTTTTTATGTTTGTATTTAATCTGTTATCTAATTTCAAATATTTTCCTAATAATTATTAAATTGTACATGTGAATGTACATATATATATATATATATGTATATGAAAATGTATTATTTTACCTCAACAATCCAAATAGCATCATCTTGTAATACGAGTTTATCGAAGTTGGAGGGTGTCAATTCTACTACATCTCCATTTGTTGGGTAGAGAGCATCAGCACAATTAAAAATAATAGCCAGTACTAATAATAAATCTAAAATATAAATATTTAATAAGAATTTCTCTTTTTCAGATAGAAAAAAGGAAACATACACGATAGAGTTTTCATCTTGCTACGTGGTCCTACACGCTAACCAAAAAAAAAAAAATGCCGAAAATTTTGTTTAAAATCCCACAAGAATATGCTTTTTCCTTTTTTTTCTTAAACTAAAAATTGGAAGACTTAACCGTCAAGTATTCTTTTACTTATTAATTTTTTAAATAATTTATTCTTTATCTGCCCAAAATCAAATTTTTTTCTATATTTTATTTTTCACTTAACACAATTTTACTGACTAACTGAGTGAATATTCAATTGTTGCTAATTTATATTGACATTTCCTAAATAAAATAAGGAAATTTGCCGTAAGTATAATGAAATCACTCTATATTTGAGTATATGTCATCGTGTAAAATTATGATTGGTTCTTTGTGAGTTAAAAATTTGAGTCGGAAAAAAGTTGTTCTGAGTGGGATTTTTGTATTTATTAATTAAATTTTACCGGCACAATAGAGAACTCTAGTGTCCATTCAGAAAAACTGTTTTCAACTAGAAAATTTTTTTTGGTAACACTACCATCTACTGGATGTTGATAGATCTTTCAGACGTTAATATTGAATAAATTTGCTCATTTGCGGCAACAGTGACATAACTCAAAAAATCCGGTTTCTGAATTATTTCTTTTAAGATTTGATTTCAAATTTAATTAATTGTGGTTTTTCTTTTTCCCACATACCATAAAAGATTTTTTAACGTTTAATAACTTAAATTAAAGCTTGAAAGAAACTTGAAAACAAAATTTGAAATTTTAAAGTTTCAAAAAATTTCATACGAAATTATTGAGGAGGAAAACGAAAAAAAAAAATCTTTACTCGAAGCCTCTATCTTTTTCTGAAGCAAAAAAACTTGAATAGTAGAAATTTTGTGAAAATTAATTAAAAACCGTGTATCCCGGAAGCCGTTTAGATTTGGCATCTAGTTCCTAGACCTGCCAGTAACCAATGAATAATAATGAATACCTGGGTGGTATATGCCACATCATTGGTTACTGAATCATTTTTTAAATATTCATAAGCGCCATTGAATTGAGATGAAAAGTGTTCTAACAAACAGAGAGATTAGGCACCTCGAATTCGCTAATTAGGAATGAATTTACAATAAACGAATTTGCGCTATGTTAAACATAAAATTTCCTGAATTAAACATTTAGTTTTTTTGATAAATAATATTTTTATTATTTCACATATTAAATTTATTAAATAAAGTTAAATATATTTTTAATTATGTTTCTAAATGTTTTATAATTAAAATATAATACTGGCCTTATGCATATTGCACTTTGAAAGCAATTAGTTTACAAATTAAAACAACATGAAATTTTAAATATTTTATAAAATTAAAAAAAAAATTACTTAATTATTTTCTAAGTATATATGTACATGATATTGCAATATTTATAATTTATAAATTATGAAAATTTAGATGAGCAAGTACAAAATATAACTATAATTTTATTTTCTAGCATAGGCGACTACTAATTTATATGGTGTTGGAAATATAAAATCATCTCCATTTTTTTGACTGAAACCTTTTGATATCACACCTCTAATATAATCGTTCATAAATTCGTCTTGTAAATTAACAGGTAATCGATTAACAAATGGATTGACAGCTTTATTATTACCTAAAATAATTTAAACAGAAATTAATTAAAGTAATTTATAAAATATTAAATTAAAAAATTTATATTTATTTTCTCATATTATTTAATAATTATTATTGTTGCTTGTGTTCCTTTTAAATATATAACACCTTCAAAACACAAAATGTCAAATTATTGTATCACATAAGTATAACATTTTATATAATACGACTCAATTCCATATTAATTCGGCCACCTTAATATTTCTTTGAAAAACACAATTATTATAATTGGTTTCCATATTTATATTTAAAAATTTATAATAAAAATTATTTCATATTAAAATAGTCATTCTTTGGTAACTCCAAGAGATGTGCTTATATTAAAATCAATAATTAGAAAAAAAACAGCGCAAATTATAAGCAAGTAGAAAGGTACTTGCAAAAGCAATTTTTCTTGCTCAACTGCACTACAACACATTAAGAAGCTGGGGTATAAATTTTATAAGTTATTTGTAATAGAGGCAAAAAAAGCCTCAAATTAAAATATACAAAAAAAAAAATACCAGCGGGATTGATGGTAAACACAATATATAAAGCCGCAATCTTTAATTTGATGTGACGAATCCACATTTGAAGTTTGTGTAGGAGATTCAAGAAAACGTATTCTTGGTACACCCACTGAGAATTACAACGAAGATTACTTAAAAAAAAAAATGAAATTTCCAGCAAAGGTATGAGAATGTACACATACATTGGTATACATAGATATTTTTAAAATGTTGCTATTAGAGACCTAGTCAATGACTTTTTAAATACTATCTATGTACGCTATTTTAAAGAAAAATTAGTAATTTTTATTATGAAATAACTTTAGTTAGAAATTTTTAAAAATAAATATGAAAACTAATTAAAATAATTGTGTTTTTCCAAGAAATATTCAAATGGTCGAATTAATATGGAATTGGGCTTGTAATATATAATAAAAAAACAAACCATCTATCGGAATAAATGACAAGTGCTACTTTACATAGAGTAGGTATAGATAGACAAATATTTTAATTGTATTTTTTAACACTTGAAGCTATTATTCATTCAGACTATAATTTACCCTTGAAAGGAACACAAGCAATAATTAAGAAAATCAAATTAAAATAAAAAAAAAATAAATTAAAATAATAAAATAATATTTACTTACGTTTAAGATTTTCTAAACCTTCATAAACAAATAATAAATTTTTCATTTCAATTTGAATTGTTTGGAAACCTATCGATTTTAATAATAATCGAAAATCTTGATCTGGATTCTCTTTATATTGAAATGGTGATATAAATTTATGTACATCTGTCATATATTTACACCATTTTGGATTCATTGAAAGATCATTATAAATATCATAAACTGGATTATAAGCTAAAAATGTTATAAGACAATCACCATCCTCATGTAAAATATTATAGACATTTTGTAAAGCTTTCCTGCAATAATAAAAATTTAAAAAAGAAATATAAAATTAAAATATTTAATATTCAATAGCGACTTGTTAAAAATTTTATTAATAAATAATTGTTAATGATCTGAACTGTTTTCAACGTCAATTTTGTATTTTTAGGATTGTAGCACATTGTAAAATGAGAAAACTGAAATGTACTAACGCTCAAAAGAATATATAAATTTTTAAAACTCTGAATTGGTAATGTTTTTTTTTTTTTGTATTTTGAAAGAATAAATAAAGAATCGGCATAAATAATTTTAAAATAATTTTGAAATTTTCAGAGTGAATTTATTTACATATGAATTGGGGAAGTGTTGTTCAATATCGTTGTTCACTGTCAAGTGTGCTGGTAATATGGTTTTACAACTCAGTTGAAAATTACGAGTATTGAGAAGTAATTAATATGACAGGAAATTTTTATAGTTGCATTTCTAAGTGAATCAAACTGAGATTGGATTTGAGATGTTGCTTTTGACAAATTGCAAAAGTGAACTTCAAAAATGCATTAATTATGCGATTTTAAAAGTGAATTCATAAATGAAAAAAAAATAATTAAAAATTTAGTTATACAACCATTAGTGACCATATGTCAAATTCTTTATGTTCTGAAATTTTATTCTATATTTGCAATTTCATACACTTTTGGTTAATAAATTTCATTTTGCTAAATTAAAAAATTTTTCTGATATTAAAAATATCCAAAAAAACAAAAATCTGTTATCCTATTGTATTTTTTGTTCTGTACTGTAATCAACCATATTTAATCAGCTTTAAATTAAAATTATTTTGTTTATACTTAAAAAAATTAAGTATAAAAAAAGAGGAAAACAATATTTAAAAATATTTTTATTGACATTCATAATTAAAGAGATCATTTGCGTTTTATTCTTGTATTTATTTAAATTATGTACCCATGTATTTTAATTTAAAAAAAATTAACTATACTTAATCTTTATTATTTGAATTTTGGTTTATGAAATTCTAATTATTCTAACAATAATTTTTATTCTGTTCGAAAACTCTTTTCATAATAATTATTTACTAAATATTTTTAATTATAATTTTTTTTTGTTTTACGTAAATTGTATAATATTTTTCTAAAAATATTTTTTATATAAAATTGTTTATACAACCGATTTTGACGTATCGAACAATTTAATGTTGGTTCAACAAATTTTATGTTTTGTATTTGTTCTAAACTTTGTTCTTAATAATTACGCAAATGTATATATGTATGTATATACAAATATTTGTCTTAACTACTGTTTTTATAATCAATGCATAATTATTAATTTAATTTGTAATCTTTTGAATTTGCTAAGATAAATATTGAATTTATAAAATTTCAATATTCACAAATTAAAGGCAAACATTTATTTCGATTAAAATACATTCGAATTGTTAAGGTTTTATTCATTATAATGGAGCTAAGTGAGGTTAAATTTTGATTCCAAAATTTAGATTATCAATTATTGGTAGTTCATTAATAGTGTAAATATACTTAATTGTCTATTAATTTAGAAAGTTGTTGCTTGCTACTACAGAAATAATATAATAATCTTGACATTTTGTAATTTTCAAATTTATATTATTTTCATTTTAGGTTGGTTTTTATAAAGTATAACCTTCATTATAAATTTTATATAAATAAACAAAATTAATAACAATTATTTTTGACAATTATTTATTTTAATTTAATCTCATACAATGTTGTAAAATACCAATTTTACGTACACCTTTATAACAGTTTAAAAAATTACTGATAAAATTATAAGTAATTAAAGTTTTAATTTTATACATAAAATTGAATGTAATCATATTTAATTATATTAAATGTATACTTATTAAAAATTAATAATTATATTATATTAAACTCAAAGTTCTCAGTTAATTCTAAGTGATTGTTAAATTACTTTTAAATTCTATATGTATTACTAGAGTATTACAATAGAAATGACAACGCAACATTGTTGATTATTAATACACCATTCATTTTTAATAAATTCATGTGAGAAAATTTATAAACTACTTACACATATGTAAGTATATTATATGTAATAAAATCTGGCACGTGATAACCTAGTTTTATAAATAGAAATACGAGTATAAACATAAAAGTAAGTATTCTAATTTAACAAATATTAACAATTTAATTTAAATAGTTTACAAAATATTGTTTATTTTTATTTAAGAACAACAATAATTGATTTTCGTTTATTTTTTTAATGTATTAAGTGTTTATGAATATATAATTAGTAAAAGGCGCGTCTTTTTTTTTGTCATTTAAATTTTAGTAAAAGAAGTACAAGAAAAACTGGGCGACTTAAGAATAATGTGATTGTATATCTGGTTTTTAAATTTTTATCTTGGCATTAAGTAAGTATATTTATTTGAATGTAATTTTTTGATAGTGTACTTTGGAAGAATTTTCGGGCCTTTGTAAAATGCAGATGGAATATATAGAATTAGATATAACAATAAACTCGAAGAGTTAATTACAAGGCGAAACAATTGTGAAGTTTGTAAATTCGCAAAGAATTAGGTGGGCAGGGCATGTAGCCCGCAATGCCTAATGAACGTATTCCAAAGAGAATAATAGAGGGCAGAATCGATAATGTTAGAAGGCGCGGTAGATCTAGAAAGCGCTGGAACAACGCCATTGAAAAAGATTTAGTAAAGTTGGGGGATCGAAAATTGAAAATGACCGAGCAAGATAGATCAACATAGAAGAGAATCGTTGAGGAAGCAAAGGTTCACACCGAGCTGTAACGATAAGTAAGAAGAGAGAAAAAGAGACTTTGGAAGTAATCCATATCCATTATCATAATATAAAATTTTTAATTTTTTTACCGTTATATTAAGACACATAAAAATTTATACTTTAAAAGTAATTATTTTGATGCGTTAATATTAATTCTCACAATATACATATCTACCTATACCTATACATATTTATAAGAGTAATTACTAAAAAGTAGAAAAATATTGCAAAATTACAAATGCAAAAAATATTGCATACTATAATGTTCATCTAATCCTTAATGTATGGGTTGTTCTCCTTTATAAGTGTATACAATGCTGCAAATTACGTTATACATATTTCTGAGTATAGTATACAATTAATATATATATATAGTTTATATACGAGTATGTATTAAGTAATAAGAATAACATATAATGACAAAGTTATTATACTAACAGAATATTTGTTATATAAATATTAAAAAGTAGTAATCTACCGAAATAAATGCATAAATGTAATTGACTCTTTCGACCATCAAATATTTTTTTCAGTAACTGGTGTAATGGAAAGTTCTGAGTATACACGTTTAAGAGTGTTGTATACTTACTAGTAAAAGAATCGCTAATATTTTGAAAATCTAAAACTCTTGACTTATATTGTAAGAGATTATTATGAGAGAGCTATTTTTAGAGAATATTAGCCAATATCTGTTCAGTGTTTTTTGCAATGTTTAGCACACTTGTGCTATATGTACATTCTTCTTTTTGCTTCTTCACAAATTTTAAAATTTTCTCATATACAAAATCAAGTAATTCTTGCAATTCCCATCTTTTGCATTTTCTACATATATTATACTACTACTACTTTTACTAATATTCAATTATAGCTGGGTTTTAGAATACATTTTAATTATTAAAAGTGTGAATAATAATGATTTTTTTTATATACTTAAGGTTAGAAATGTTATCACTATTATAATGTTAAAGTACTTTCGAAATCTAAATAATAATCATAATATTGTTAATTTATAAACTCATAATTTGATTATAGTATTTGATAAATACACACAAAAAAAAAACTTTAATGAATTTAATTGTTAAATCGTATTATTTAAATAATAATAAATAATAAATGTATGTATGTATATGTAGCATAAAATATGTAAATTATTTGGCCTACATTACATACAGAACGTTCAAATATCAAAAAAAAATATAATTACATTTTAATAAATAATAAAAAATAAATTCAAAAATTGGTTTTTTTTAAAAAGTAAACAATCATTGATAATTTTCACTTTTATTTGAAAATAAAAATTTTGAAAGTCAGAAAATAAATATTATTTATTAGAAAATTTATTGAAAACAATTAAATGCTTTAAAAATTTTGGAAAATATTTCAATTTTAGGTGAATTTGTGTTCAAATTGAAGTTATTAGAAGAATATTAAGGCTATTACTCAAGAATTTTACTCAATATGGAAAACCTTCTGCTGCCACACTACAAATTCTAGTGGCTTAGCATTTTTGCAGAATTTTTTTTGCAAAAGCAAGATACTTACTACGTTTTGTTTAAATATGTCCCTAAAATTATTTAATCTTGCAAAGTACTTATGGACTATTCTGCAACTTGAATAATTCATCCAATACTAATTTTATTGCTAATATTAATTTACAGATAAGCTTAATACATACGAGTACATTCATTCATTTCATAAAATACAACTCTTTTCTTTAAAAAATAATCTACAAAAAATATTTAAATTCCAAATTGAACAAATGTTGTATTTATTAGTTTAATGTTTAGTAATTTTATTTACACCATTTTGAATTATTCACCTAAATAAATTAAATACACATACATATTGTAAACAAATTATATAAAATGGATTAAATAAGTCAAATAATTGTATATATATATGTACATATGTGTATGAATTAAGTAGATTATAATTTTTAAAATACTAATTAATCAAATTAATTAAGTTATTGAGCATGAAAATCATTTTCTAAATTTAATAATATGCTTTAGAAAATTGTTCATGAATACTGCAGAAAATATAATGTGTAGGTACCATAACTGATCATATTAATTACTTATAATAATAAATAATGATAATAAAAATTATTAATAATAAATTTTATAGTAAATTTTAAATTTCAATATAAGTACTTTTTATTTTATTTTAATGTGATTGTTAAATTTAATTTACTTTTAATGTATGTAATTATTAATTTAAATTCTCATTAAACTCATTAAATATATTATGGTATGAACAATAATTATGAATTAATATTATATGGTGATATAGATAACATTGTATTAGATATACATATAGATATAAGATAATTCTACTGTTGAATTTACTTTCCGTAAATCTTAGATCATTCTTCATACTTATGTATTTGAGCAAAAATGGAATTAAAATTTTATTATTAAAGAACTCAACTATGCATTCTGTGAGAATTGAACTGTATACATATTATATATAATAAATACTCTATATATAGAAAATTCAAAAGAATTTCAAAGGTATACATAGAAATATATGCGCAAAAATTTAAATAACCTGTGTATGTAGGTAATTAAAGGGTAGTTTTTAAATATGTACATATATTATTATAAGAGTCAAAATATTTTTATTTTTTACATTGCAGTACTTAGGGTAAAAAAAATAAAGTTAAGTAGCTACAGTTGTAACACATAACAAGTATATGGAAGTATCATACCTGATGATTTTAAAATGTGTTCATTTTTTAGATTTAACACAAGGCAGGCATAGTATAAATTAAGCTGGTGCATTAAAAGAAAAAAAAAAACAAATTATTAATTATTATGGGCAATAGAACGTTTTTCCATAATTAAATTAGTAAATCACAAAATGCTTAATACTTAATTCCAACGTAATACAATGAAACAAATTATAATATACGTTAACGGTATTTCAATTAAGCACTTGAATTTTTTAACTCTTTGATTTAAATAATAGAAAAAACGTCTAAAATATAGCTATAATTTAGCAAAATTATTAAAAAAACAACTAACCACAATGGATTTTTATTAAGATTAGTCTAGAATCGACACAATTTAAAAATTTCTGTATTTTATTTACAATTAATTCATTTTTACTACAAAAATGTTGAATAAAAATTTTTAATTTAATTTATTTCGAAGTAGAGATCATTGTACCGTTATAGATTTAAATGACATTTAAATTTTGACACAAGTTATTCCCAATTGTACTAATTTAAAAATTTTATATATCTAATTAATTATACCTATACACATACATTGTATGTATATGTATGTATCTTTTTGAAAAATTAAACTCACCTCTGATTTTGTATCCAATGCCAACAATAAAATGATGTTATATGATCATATTGATCATAATATATTTCATTTAAATCATTTTCAATATCTAATACATTAAATTCAACATTTTTAATATTTTTATAATAATTTTTAGCATATTTAATCATATTTTCACTAATATCGATACCAGTTAATTTTTTAAATTTTTTTGGCATTATTGGTAATATATAATCAATTAGAACATCACCACTACCACAACCAATATCCATTAATGTATCTTCACCATCATAACGCCATTGTAATATTTTTGAATATTCTTTAACAACTTCTTTAGCATCACGTCTCTGTACATAATTACTACGGCAATATAATGAAGCAGCTTGCATTTTTTGTTATTTGTTTTTTTTTTTTTTTTTTTTGTTTTCTATTAAATATAGTTAATTTAAAAATTTAAATATATGCGAATTAATTTTATTATACAAAATTTATTAAATAGATTAAATAACTTAAAAAAATTTTAATTTAATTACGAATTTTTTTCTTTTATTTTTTTCAAAATTTTAAATTCTCTCGGAGAAAAACGTCTTTACGGTATTGTTGCCGGAAACACTTTGAGATGCGTTATGATTTCTACTTACTGTTATGTATTTTATTACTGTATTTTTTTTTCTCAATTTTAAAATTTAATTTTATTGCTACTTGTATAAATGTAAATAAATTTTTTTTTTTTTTTGTTCTTGTGCTTTTACTTTTTATTATTATTACTTTTATATTTTTTTAAATTATTTTCTTGTGATTTTTTACTTTTTTCTTGAAATATTAAAAATGATCTAAGAACGAAAGCTTTCGAAATGCTTCTGAAAGTTAGCAGACAGCATGTTGAAGTTTTTATAAGTGCTATTATTTTAATTTGTTTTGTTTTTTTTTTTTATTTTTTTGTTATATGTAGCATTTTAAAACAGAAATAAATTTCACGTCACAATTATAATTATATTTATATAAATATACATATATGTACATATTTATATTTGAAAAAAAATAAAATACAGTAGAAATTTTTTACATGTGACGCTTTGTATTTTTTAATTGGTTTGTGGTGATTATTCTAATTCGATTCTTAATATGAAGAATCAAATATATTTTGCATTTTTGGTAATTAAATTTCATGCTTTATTAATTACAAAATTGGGAAATCAAGAATTAACTTTAATTTATTCACTTAAAATTTTTAAAATTTTAAGTTATTATTTCGCAAATTTCGGCCAAATTATAAGTTATTAAATACAATATAAACAGAATTAAATTAATTAAATAATTATAAAATAATTATTAATTATATCTCCTAACGGGACACTGCCGACTCAGATGTCATATGGGAAGGAAAGATGTCATATGGAAGATAAGTTCACTTTTTTGCACCTTTTCGGTGAATGTGCAGCTTTAATACTCGAATTTTGCAGAAGGATAGAGAGTGTTTTAGGTGTGATAAGTAGAATGCGAGGTACAATTAATACACGTTTAAGATTCCGGTGCTTTGATACCGCATATCCAATTTAATCTAATCTCAATAAATAAAAAATGCTTGAGAAAATTTTGATGCAGCCATAACAAGAGTTCACTGTATATTCAAGAGGTAAATAAGCAAAATTTTCTTATTTATTATTCTTAAAAATTTATTAATGAAATTTCATATAGAATTTCCAGACTTTTGTTCTCTTAAAAAAAAAAACCAAAAAGGAAAAATAGATGAAAATTATACATATACATATGAAAATATTATTAATAATATGGAAAAAAGTGATTTTATAATTTGAAAATGATTTGAAAGTGATCTTATTACACATACACTATGTATCAACGTACAATAATATACAAGTATATACACACAGATTAAAGCGAAAAACAAAAAACGAAAGGTAAATTTTAAAATGTATTACGACATAAAATTTTTTACAAAAACAATAAAATTTTAATTTTATTCTATATAATTTTTGTATGGGGTGTGTTATGATCCTAGCGAAATTCTCAATAATTAATTGGAAATCAATATTAAACTTAGCGAAAACTGTCAAATTGAAATATTAAACTTAGCGAGAACTAAACTACTGTGCATTTTCTTGCCTGTGAACAATATGAATATGATAAATTAGATCGTTGGATTACCAAAAGAGAGGTTAATTTTTACTTTTTGTAATATTAACTAGCATGTTCGTATACTATACTCATATTTTTCTCTCACTTTTCTAGTTTTATTATTATATTTTAATACATTCATACATACTTATATAAATTCTAATCGAAATTTATTTAGTTTTCCACATAATGTCCATTCAAAATCAAGTTTATCAACTTATATACACATACTACATATGTCAATATAAATATTCTGATTTCTGAATGACTTAACCAGTTATACAAATTGATATTTTTTCAGTGTTTAAAGCTTGTAAAACTTTTTTACCACAATATGTAAATATGATATGTAGGTTGTCAATAATACTTATATTTCTAATTGAATAATTAAATGTTAATTAATATCACTATGATATTGGTTATTATTTTGGCGCTCTCCTGTTTCAATTCTTACATACCGCAATAATTTAAATAATGATTAATTAACTGTCAATAACTTAGAATTCATATTTTATAAATGAAAGCTTAATTCGATCAATTAATTACAAAAATGTTTTTTTTTATTGTAAAATAAATTTTTTATTAAAAATAAATTTATAATAATATATTTTATTTAAAAAAAAATAAGAATTTTAATATGAATAAATTTTCAATAATTTTAAATTAGAAATTTAAATTAAATTATGATTGTGTCAGGTAGATCAGCTGTTGCTTAATAATAATACTATGTTCCGTTAAGTAAAAAAATATATGTATAATGACCGCTGTCATAAATATTTAGTTTCCATTATTTTCCTCAATATTTATAGGGTATTCCAGTTCTGATTTAAAACTCTCGGAGGTGATTTCTTAGAATTTTTTAGCAAAATAATTGTACATGGGCGGAGGGAGCGGGGGTTCTCGATAAAAGAATGAACAAGTTCCTCTAGAGGATGTTTCGGAGGGCTAAAGAATATCAGATTGAAAAAGTTCTGCTTTTCAAATACTCGTAACAGTTACGAAACAAATAAATCAAGAGCATTGTTCACAAAAATTTTTCGAACATACGATTTTTTTCCTAAAAAGAATCCCGGGGAGTGATTCTTGCCTCTGAAGAATCACTCCCCGACAACTTTAACACCAGAATCGGACCACCTTTTATATCTTAACTATATAATATTTATTAAAAGATGAATCAAACTCTTCTGAAATTCGATTTTGTACTTAGTGAATTTTACTTTTTGAAACTTGGAGCCACGACAAAATAAAGTTTTGATGTTATGCAAAAAAAACAAAATTTAAAAACAAATTAAAAACGCATTAATTAATAGAAAAAACATATTAAAAGAATTTTCTTAGAATTGAAATATAAAAAAGATGTAATGTAAAAGCTAAAAAAATAAAAACAAATTAATGGCACATGGACACATGAGTTCTAAAATATTATCAATAAAAAAGATATTTCAGTGATGAAATCATAAATAACAAAACCATCTCGAAGATCTTGAATGTACGTAGGTATATGATGCGAGTACTGCCAAATCACACATTTATAGTGATAACACTTTCATGATTTATGCTAACAAAAACCTAAAACATCAATTAAATTCTTGCGTAAATCATTTGTTTTTATTTCTTCTATTAAATTCTTCGAATAGCTTTGCTGTTATTTGTATTTGTACCTACAGTAGTAATATTAAAAATTATATTTATATATGTACACTAATGTAGCTGTACACTAATGTAGCTAATGTACAGTATGTTTCGCAAATCATTTCAGTGATGATTCTTTGATCAATTTCTAGGAAAAAATTGTATGAGTATGAGACTGTAGCTCGAAAACATGTATATTGTACCTCCACATACAATTTTTTACTGAAAACTTGATCAAAGAATCATCCCCGAAAGTGGCAACCTTATGCGAAACACCTTGTATGTATAAAATAGCAATAATATATTTATACATGAAAAAGAATGTTTATTTCCAAAATTTTATTAATACTTCTCAAAAAATAATTGTTAACTTATGATTTTAAGCAAACAAAATTGAAGACACCTAAAAGAGTAATGAATAGAGTAAAGAAGACGTAAGTACATATGTACGTGAGTTTAGTGATCCGCTCAACATTTTATAAAATATTTTGAAATTAATGAAAATTCCAAACATTGTGTATTGGTACATGAAATAATTGCCAAGTGAACATTTGATTTTGACATTACGCAATTACATAAGGTGTCAAAATTTTATGCAATAACAAATTCCAAACTGACATTGAAAAAACATATTACATTATATATTAAATTCAAAATTACATTAATAAATTCCGATGGAATTTAAACATTCCATTTCAGAGCAATTAATCAAAATTCACAAACTTGTAAAACTGATCACATTTCATTTTAAATTTATTAAAGTAGATTTTTCTATAATATTTGTCTGAACTCATATTTTAAGCTTAAATTGAGCAACACTGAAAAAATATAATAATTAATTGAATATTATAGAACGTAACACAGTTTCAAAGTTCACACGTGAACGCTCCAAATAACATTTTTCAATTTAAAGAATGAAATGAAATAAAAAGAAAAATCGCAGTTTGAAATAATCATACAGAGCAGAGCGTTCGAAGAGAGAAAAGCACATTTTAACGAATAGTTTTGTTTTTGTTTCATTCATGATTAATTTTGTTTTTTTTTTTTCTATATATGGATACATACATACATACATTATGTAGATGTTTTTCGCTAAATTGGTTTTTGTACACGTTTCAATGTCAATTGATGCGAAATTCATTTAAATTATAATATTGGAAAATTTGGTAAACTATTTGATTAATACAATTATAATTGAACTTTATAAAAACTTTTCGAATTTTTTATTTATTTAAGTACTTTCGAACTTTCTATGAAAATTTTTATATTTCGCATGTGTTAAGTAAAATATTGTGACGTTTATGATTAATTGGCGCTGCTTTCGACCTTAAATCTTTCCTCATCGGAAGGTATAGTACAACGTTTGGATTGCATCAATTAAATTTTGTCATTTTTATTTGAAGCTAATCTAAATTTCATGAATAATTAAAAATTTAATTCTAATAACTGCAATAACTTAATTTCTTTACAGTTGTTTGAATTTGCATAATTAAATCATTTGATCTACATATTTTTAACTTTAGTTTACGCGGAAATAGTATCACTCCAGCGAAATACTTAGTATTATTTAGAATTTTTGGTCTACGTCTCGTTTTTTATTTATATTATAGACGAGTTGTAATGATTGCTAAATTTATTGTGTATAGGAATATTATCAATATTTTGGGAGAATATTAAGCATAACATATATAGAATTAGTATTGTTCTAGAAATTTACGGTAAAGTGATTTTCATGTTACGGTATTGTATTATATTACAAATAATTTCAGTTAAAAGTTTCGTCATGTTTACCTAATTTATATAACAATTAATTATGAGTTATGAAACCTTAATTGATATATTAATATTCACAAATTATGTAAATGCGTCTTAAAAATTTTAATAAAAAATTTTGTCAATCGTAATTTTTTTCTGAATTTCGCCTGATATTATTTTCGAATAAAAATTAATTCAGAACATATTAAATGCCA